AATACTAATACCTTTTAATAATAGAGTAAAACCTGCTGAGGTAAATATAATATAGTAAAAAGTAATTTATTTTTCTTTGGAGTATCCTATTAATATTCAGTAAAGTTTATTACCCAGTGCCAGAAAATTGCATCATTTTTCTTGTGTTGAATGCATTTTGTTTTTGTGCCCTGAAGGGTATCTACCGTGTGAATGGTGCCAAGTCTCGGGTGGAGAAGTTGTGCCAGGCATTTGAGAATGGAAAGGACCTGGTGGAGCTCTCTGACCTTTATCCCCACGACATTAGCAATGTACTCAAACTTTACCTGAGACAGGTGGGCTGCTTATGAAACACTATTCTCAATATTGAGGTGTTGTACATTTACCTACATTGTCGCCCAAATATGGACACAAGCTGGTTTAAAGTGAGTTCTGCAGAACACATTCACTGCAGATGTATTTATTTTTGGCACAGACCATATTTCCCACTTCTCATACCTTGATTCCCCTGCTGTTTTTCTTATATATTTTGGTTGTTTCTGTTTATTATTACCTTCCTTGTTTCATTTGTTGCTTTTCTTTCCTCCATGCTTTCTGTGGCAGCTTCCAGAGCCGCTCATCCTGTTCCGCTTCTATAACGACTTTATCGGTTTGGCCAAGGAAAGCCAGAGCATCATCGTGGAGGAACTGGAGGCACTGCGGCTCAGTCCCACCCCAGTGACCCTGGCACAGGTCAGCGTGGAGCTTAACCGGGTCCTCTTCAAGATCAAGGACCTGCTGAAGCAGCTGCCGCCAACTCATTACAAGACATTGCAGTTCCTGATCGAGCATCTGCACAGGTAGGCCTCAGTCACATCATCCATAACTCACATTTCTGCTGAGTGCATTATTAAATTGTTAACATGTTAATTTAACAATGAGGGATGTGATAAGCGATTATTTGATTAACCTTCCTTTTCAGGGTGACAGAGTGGTCAGAGGAAAATAAGATGACAGCCAGCAACCTGGGTATCATCTTTGGTCCAACACTGATCAAGCCGAGGCAAGCGGACGCTGAAGTCTCCCTTTCCTCTCTGGTGGATTACCCCTATCAGGCTCTAATTGTGGAGCTGCTGATCAGACACTATGAGATGGTCTTTGACACCCCTCTCAGTCCCCTGAGCGGCACCTCGCCCACAGAGGTTGATACCCACCCTCGCCCCGACACCCAACTGAGCAGGCACTCCAAGTCGCTGGGAGACATTAAGGAGGTAATTAGCTATCATGCTAAAAATTAGATGGGTATGTAATATTATTGAATGTGAAAATCACACACAGTGTTTTCCTCCATTTGTCTTTCTCATCACAGCAGTCCTCGAAGGTGTATAAGAGGCATCCCTCCGTTATTCCTTCTTCCCACTTACTGGTTGAGGTTCAGGAGACCACACCACGCCTCGATGGGAGTGACTTTGAACCTGGTCAGTGTTGTCACAAAGATAAAAAATCTTTAAAGAGCAATATAATGAGGCCAATATTACTCCATAATTAATTTGTTTCGTAAAGTAATCTGCAGGATATTGTCTATGAAGTCTACCTCATTTTACTTCCTTTGTTAATGTCTATTCTATTTTTAATTTCTCTGTTAAAGCTGATGAAGTGGATTCAGAAACCCTCAATGGGGTCCTATCATCAAGTGTCCCTGATGTCCCAAAACCTGGAGAGAGAGGGCTCTCTCACCCCCAGCATATCACTCTCGCCAGGGTCCAGCTTCGACACCCTCGCAACAAACTCTCCTCCCGGCCGGTCAGCATGCCGGTAGAACGGATACTCAGCCGAGGCCGAGTCGACGAGAACAACACTCGGAACAGTGCAGACCAAGAGGTCAGGAAAGGCAGCAGTTTTGACGAGTCCATTGAAGAGGTGGATGAAACCGAAAATGCAAAACGGCGTGTGGCCACACATTACCGGAGTACATTTATTGACACCCAGACATTACGCAGAACTTGGGACAAACAGTACAAACAGGATGCTGCTTCTCGGACTGTCAGAATCGTGGCCAGTTCGTCCACAGAGAGCACGGCAGAGGATACCAGCAACTTATCTGCTTCTGTGCCATCAGCCCTCTCCCTGGGGACTTCTGGGAGCACTATCAGCACCATGTTCCCTAATAGACCTTATACAGTCGCAGTGCGACCCAGCAGGACTTTAAGAAGAGAGGACAATGTAACCAAATACAGCCCCATTGCAACAGCTTTCAGAGCTCCCAGGACTCTCCAGCCTCCCCCAGGAACCTTCTACAAGCCCCCATCGGGGAGCAAAGCTATAGCACTTCCGAACTGTGCATCAGCCAACAGTGCCGAGGAAGAAGATGAGGAGGAGGAGGAGGAAGAGGATGATGATGAGGACGAGCTGGGGATTGAGATAGAAGTGTCCGTGGATGAGCCTCTTGGGGAGGACATTGAGGCCGAGCAGGTGCCCATGTCTGAGTCTCCAAGCTCTAGCCCAGAGGAACTGGGCCAAAACCAGGGAAAACCTGTGTACCAGAGACTACGGCCCAGACGCCTCCAGGAGGTCGAGCATCGAGAGGCTCATTTTGTCTAAGAGAAGGTGCCCGATTGGGAACAATGTGTGCTATATTCTGTTGGAGAAAGAATAACAAAAGACTTCATTAACTCTGCAAAGACAATTTCCAGGTGTACTAAGACTGTGGGCAACGTGTGGAGAATTAAATGTACCCTTTGGTCCTTAGAAGACAAACAGGATGCACTTAAGATGCTGTATATTTTTAATATGATTCACCAATATTTCATTTACTGATCACTTGCTCTGTACACTCTGGCACTTAGTCAGAATATTTATATATTTTTTTTAAACTGTGCAATTACAATTTATTTGAGCATTTTGTATAAAGTTCTTACACGCTCAATATCTCTGTATGTTTATAGACCAAAAACACTTTTTGATTTATTACTAAAGTGCAAAAATAGTTTGGTGCACTGACCTGAAATCAAAACTCTTCCACATGTTTCTATCCTCTGTGAGTCAGAATATTTTAAAGCGTTACTTTTAGGGTATAATTAACCATTTTGCTAATGACTTGTGTATAAACACTGTTTAATGACCCTTTTGCTCTACTAAATATTTGTACTGGCATTTGCTAAGAAGCACCAGTTGCAAAGGGTGTACATCCATTTTAAACTGTTGAACTTGTACGGTATCAACTCTTATTGTCCTGAAAAGCATTTAGAAATTCCTAGGCATTGTCTTTCCTTTTTTTAATATAACGTCTACATTTTTTAATTGCCAAAGTTTTTCCATTTTCTTTTTTTTTTTTTAAACTGAAGTAGTTGTATCAGTCACCTAAATCGTACAGGTTCTTTGTAATTAATAGTAAATGCATCATTTATTTAAATGTTATCTGTTTTTCATGGTAATGTTCAAGGTGGACAGAATGTTGAAAAGGTCAATGTAAAAAAGGAAAAAAGCAGGTACATGAAAACAAACACCCTTTTGTAACTTATTAAAATATATCTGACAACTTCCAAGGGATGGTGTGTATCTACTGTACCTGTCTGTCTGTCTGTCTGTCTGTCTGTCTGTCTGTCTGTCTGTCTGTCTGTATGTGGAACACATATCTCGTGAACCGTTCCTTTAATCTGCTTCACATATGGCATGTCAATGGTAAATTGCTCGAAAAAATGTAGTGCAGAGTTTTATGCCGTTTGGACTCGCGATATGTTCACTATTAATACAATTTGAACAGGCAACCAGTGCTGCTTAACATGGGGAAGGGCAGTGCTAGAAATCTTTCAAGTTAAAGCCCACGTTTGTTTGATTACTACAATGCTTTATATCTATACCTGAATTCCAGAGCTTCTGTTATGAAAAACTGTACAGTAAGTTCTGAAGAGTGTGTCAACAGACTTCTAAAATAACTGACATGCAATGAATGCAAAAAATACCATTCAAGTAAATCATCCACACCTATATATATAAGCCACACACATGAACAGTAATAAGGGAATTTCATTTTCATGGCAAACACAAAGTTTTCTAACTTCACTCTGCATCATTGACTGTTTATAAAAAAAATTGCACGCAACGTCCAGCACACACACACAAAAAAGTGACAGTATATTGTAGAACTGTTCGAGGAAGAATCACTAATGACAAGGAATTATTATGAAGTAGCTCCAGAGCATTGCACTGAAAAAAAAATTCTAATTATTTAAATAATTACCAGTGTTAAAGCAGTGTTGTGCCTGTGAACAGATAATGAAAACAGAAATATTCTCCTTTAACAGTGATGGGATTATAACAGTGGCAGGATTATGCAGTATAATGAGGGCCAGGTGGTTAGGTCAGGTAGGCCTTTACGAATAGATGAGAGGCATTTTCAGTCTCCAAGCACTGAAAGAAGATTAAATCAATCTGCTTAACTATTCACAAGGTCTGGAAACAAGCTGTGTTAGCAACCTCGAGGAGCAACTCAGTAGAATACGTAGTGTTATGCTTTATTTACTGGATATCTGTCTGCAGTGCAAGTGTTCTCCTGAGGTAAGTGATATGATCTGCTGCCTTATGCTTTAATATCAAGTCGCTGGATACAGTATGCGATTAGCAATGTAGCCAAAACAATTACACAACAGTTGCAACTGACCTAGATTAAAGCTTATTTTGTCATATGCACCAGGAATGTGGAATATTCAATGTGTTCTGACAGTGAAATTATCCATGAACAGTAACCAGAGGGTATGTTTGTATAGCGTGGAAAGTTCTGTAATTGGTAACCATGTGAAATGTGAAGCTTAATAGCCTCATTGTAGAGCTCCTTTTATGTGGGACATACTCTTTGGATAAATGAGTGGACAGTACAGTTCATCCACAAAATTACCTTTTTAATTTCAAATGACCCTGGTTACATATAATTTTGTAATATAGTATATAAGGTGGCTTCATGTAGATCATAGTAAAATAGCAGGCTTATTAAATGCAGGTTTGTCGGCTGTTGCCAGCCCCTGTGGGGGTGAAACGGAGGAGCCATGGGGGCAGGAGCACAGGTCAGACTCCTGTTGTGGAAGAACTGGACCATCCGCAGGAGGCAGAGGGTAAAATAATTCATCAACTACACACTGGATTTATCCCCTATGAGCTTTGCAGTTAGTTTAAATTCCTTCAGGTTTCATTCTTTGCTGATGATACCAGCAAATTACTGTCCAAAACAAGGAACCCTGATGAAATTCATACATATTCCATTCTGTGTAAAATACATCAAAATACATCTGTCATATAAGGTAACACATTGCTTGTAACATGCTGGAAAGTTGTTTAATTTTTTTCACTGGATTGCAAATCTCAAGTTTGCATCAGCGGGCTCCAGAGTCTGTACAACATATGACTGAACTGAAGAAGTAATATGATTTTTAAAGCATCTTTAGTGATTCCAAGTTTGCAGAATTTGCAAAGTTGAAATTTGACTAAATTTCAGATTTCACAAAAATATCTTAAAAGCCTCTAGTGTATTTTAGTAAAGTTGATCAGGGGTGTCAGTTTAGGTCAGTCAGGGTAATGTGTGTTCACACTTTAAATAAGTGTACTTCTTCAGACTTACTTCTGCCAAAGTTCATATTGTTCATTTTTATAAAATGAATGTGCTGCTGTTCAACCAGGTGCGATTCTTCATGGAGATCATGTGGCCTGTAATGCTGTTCATGGGACTGGTGTGGCTAAGGAGGGTGAATCCACTTTACCGTCAACATGAATGTAAGTGGACAGTTATTTTCCTCTGTGGCCGATATGGCATCCTATTGATAAATGTTGATCCCAGACTTGTGCAAAGCCCTGAAAGCCAACAAGAGTGTCCTCTCCCTTCAGGCCACTTTCCCAACAAGGCCATGCCCTCCACGGGGGTCCTGCCCTGGATCCAGGGAATCTTCTGCAATGCCAACAACCCTTGTTTCCAGTACCCCACCCGTGGTGAATCTCCTGGTCTTGTTTCCAACTACAACAACTCCATGTGAGCATCACACTGGGCTTATAGAGGGAGGTGAATTTAAGCCAGAGATGATGAATTCCTCATGAAACATTTGATCTGAGATGAAAAGGTAGACTTTGTAATGGACTCAAAGAGAACTTTTTTAAATGTCTCTGGATTATGCTTCACTCATTTTCTAAGCCTCAGTCTATGTGTGCACACAATCAGAAATTAATGTATTTGCCATCAGTGTGTGTGTTGTTAAATAGGACTAAATGTGTGTGATCTGTTAATAACCCTCGCTCCTGCAGATTGGCTCGCTTCTACTCAGATGCCCAGGAGCTTCTTGTCAGCGATCCACAGTTTCTAGAGCTTGGCCGCCTCTGGAGGGAACTGAACACCATGAGTAACTTCATGGATACTCTACGCTCACATCCTGAACAGATCTCAGGTCAGAGCTCCAGGCTTTTATCAACATGCTGCAAAAACATCAGTGTTTGTGGATGCAAGGTGAGGTTAGTTGTTCCAGTGGAGAAAGTGTGTTTGGAGAGGAAAAAAATGTAGTTGAGATTTTCTTGTATGAATTGTTTTGTTTTGAATCATACATACAAACAGCTTGACTACATATTCCAGATCACTTGTGCAGCTCACATTAGAGTCACAAGTTTCTGTAAAACACATCTGCACATTTAAGAGAAAGTGGATGCAAGAGCAGCAAGTAAACAAACCAAGCAAAAAGCTGCATTTTGGTTCTGAATGCATGCTGATAGATGAAAGCTTGGAGCCATCATCTGGAGAACCTTGTCACAGTCTGCGTCACACCTCACACCTTTCCCCCATCAGTCTGTGTGTCTGTGCAGCATAACAGGATTACATCACATGGACTTAAGAAAGACCCGTAACATAAGCTGCTTGCTTTCACCACCAGTACGCTGTTTGTTTGGTGGGAGAGCAAGTCACGTGTACCCTGTCCATGCTTCCCCCTCCCCCCATGACAGAACATACGGAAGAGAGTACTCCATGCTAACAACCCTCTGTCCATGTGTACTTATGCCACTTATGCATGACCCATACATGTAGTGACAGGTGCCTGAGTTTCAAAGCAAGTGGAGCAAGGGCATTCTCTTAATTCTATTTCAGTCAGACAACTCACATTCAACCGTTTGTTATTGTGGTAGTAGAACATAGTTTGTGTTTGGTGTCTAGGCTCCGACTCAGTCACTCCCCTGATATGATTACACAGATATGATGGAAGTGACGAGCAAATACTTGTAATCCCCCCCGGAGGCTACAGGTGGCTGATGGTGTGGTGGAGGGGCTGAAGCAACTGGTAGCGATACTGCAGCAGCAGTGCGAGCAAAGGGATTGATGGGAAATGTATCTCTGCTTAAATAGGCTGCCTAATGAGGTGGGTGTGTATAATAGATGATTGTGGAGAATGAGGTATGTCACATGATTGGAGCAGCACAGCTCGAGTTGGCTGCCTGAACTAGCTCGCAGGGTTTGCTCCATTAGTGGAAGTAAAGTTTTTTCTACTCCACTTTTATTATTTTACTGTGTTCAGCAGCTGACTAAGTGATAAAATTACACATTTTTGGACCACCTATTGACTTGGTTCAGTCCAATCGTTGCCGGTGGCTGTCGATCACAGACTGTCAAACCACTCAGGAGTCAGTTTATTATATGCCCTTTTCTCAGGCCCCTGCTTGCTAATGATATGTCTCCAATTAATATGTGCAACTACAGGGTCTATCTATCTAATCTAATCTAGCATCTATATAAAGATAACACTTGTGAGATATCTGCAGAGAATTATGCATTGGTATAGATTCTACTGGATCAGAGTAAATGACGGTAGAACCGAAAATAAATGAGAGATTTTATTTCCTCCTAACAGAAATTTACAAGATAGTGCTAATCTTTGTTTTATTCACAGGTTTGGTAACTAGGTTAATTAGGCCCATCAATAATGTGAATCTAAAACTGCTTTTCCAAATTTGGAAGTCAAATCTTCATCACGCATTTATATATGCCCAAATTATAAACACAGTTTATATGCCCAAGTGTCGACATGATCGACTTAATCAAAGAAAAATACGACAAATCCTGATGAAACATTTCAAAATGGAGCTGTGCATTAACATAGTTACTGATTTGAGATCAGGAAGGTTGGAAGATCTGCTGCTTATGAGTATTGACAGATATTCTCAAGGCATTCAGTTGCATTACCAGGTTTAATTATCCAATTCATGTGATGTGTTGGGACTTGGTCTATAGGAGTCATGTGTCTTTTGTTTGAAGATGACATATATGCCACCATATTTGTTACATAATATTTCTATGAATATAATTTCAAATTCGAAACCTTCCTTCTAATTCATACTTTCTTCTCCACCCTTTTATTTACTGTTGTTACAGAATTCTTGGTTTTCATAGCAGCCTAAGCCTAACTAGTCCCTGCTGACAAAGAAAATGTCAGCAGGGAAATGTGAAAAAGGGAGTGGATTGAGGCCAAGTGAATTCTTTCCTATGAATGATTTTGTGCAGCCACTCTCATGGAGAAATACGTAAATGGACCAACAGAGCTAAAAGAGATATACATCCACATTCCGCAAGTTCACAGGAGCCCAGAGAAAAAAAATAATCCTACCAGCATCAAGTTATGTAACTGATAGATTTGCCTCGTCATGACTGCAGAAATATTTGAGTGGACTTTATGTTTACATTTCAGTTGGGATATCTTTATTTCCACAGGTTACGGTTGGATGTATACTTAAAAACGTGTTGGTGTTGTGTGTTGTTTTACAAATATTTTTTTTCAGCAGCTGCATAGTAACAAACAGAGTCAGAAACCTGCAACTACCACTGATGTGTTATTGAGAAATGTAATGTGGCCTTAATAATAAGTCAAGTTTAAGTCAAGGGGACTGTTTGGCCTTGGCGGTGGTATGCACACTACTGAGTGCAGTTCAACTCTTCATACTGTAGCTAAGGAAACTTTTTTCATGCACAGACAGGCCACAGGAAACAATGACACAGTGCAGAGGTGGAGTGTCTTCATCCTGTATGTATCCCTTTTAAGGCTGCAGATATGTCACAACTTGATTTAAATATGTGCCACTAAGTCTCTAGAGTCTTTCCTGTTTCCAGTTTTTCTACTGCACAACTCCAAAGGACCTTTGATTCCAAACAGTCGTTAAAGAAATTAAAAACCAGTCATCCCACAATCTGCCTCTGTCTCCCTGTACAGGCCGAGGAGTTAAAGTGGAGATGATCCTGAAGGACGATGAAACTCTGACAGCGTTTCTGCTGAGAGACATTCCTCTGACGGAATCTGTGGTCTATCAGTTAGTCAATGCTCAAATCAGGCCTGAACAGGTACACACACACACATGCATAAACACACACCTACATGATAGGGATGAATCACCAAGGTACATGTTGCAACATTTTAATACCAACCTGTGCTGAAAACACAAACAGTGTCAACGTCTATCAGTGTTGCATGGTACTAGGTTGGATCCTGCAGCTGCTTCAGGGTGTTTCCCTTTGTTTTTAATCAAAGTCCTTTAGAGCTTTTGGCAATTTTTAAATGTAAAATTAAAACACAAGAAAGGAATTGACATTCAGTTTAGTTTAAATGCAAGACTTTATTGATCATCCCGGCACTGATTTAATTTAAGTTTGAGTTTTTCACTAGAATTAGATTAGATTGATTGATTTCGTTCGATAAAAGAGGAACTTTACCTGTAATTGTAAGCCTATATAGAAGACAATACCTTAACCTACATCTCCACACTTTTTCCAGTTTGCCTCTGGGGTCCCAGACTTGCATTTAAAAGATATCGCCTGCAGCATGAACCTGCTGGAGCGCTTCCTCATATTCCCCAGCAGCCGAGGACTCAACGCAGTTCGCAATGCCATGTGCATCCTGACCCCGCAGCGGCTACAGATAATAGAGGACAAGTTCTACGCCAATGTGGACTTTTTCAAGCTCTTCCGGCTGGTCAGTGCTTGTTTCTCCTAGGACTTAGATAGCTGATAAGATAAGAACATTAGTTTTATAGGATTGAAGCTGTTGATCTTGTCAAAGGTACACAGCTATGGATTAAGACAAAATGCTGTTTTTGAGCAACTTCCTCAGATGAATATAATCTTAAATAATTTACCTATCATCTAATGTTTGCATTTTTATTAACTTAACCCCTAAGTAATATCTACTCGATCAAAACTCTGCCATAATTAAGCTTGTGGTCCCATCTCTATATTTACACACTGCTCATAGGCACACCAAAATCTTTCTCTTGGCACTCTGAAGCTATTTACTGACAATATGAAGCTCATCCATGTGTTATATGCATACATATGGCATTGATAGAGTGATCCAGTTAGTTCTTGAATAGGGGAGGCCTGTAGGGCTGTATCAGGTCCAATTTGGGATGTTGCCATGTTTATTAACTTATTTTATTTCTGAAGGGGTCAGTTACATAAGGCTGATCCAAGTGCTGGCTGAATGCACTAAGGATATGCTGGCATGAGGCACTATAGGATTTGGCAGGATGGTTGCCTTTTTCAGCAGTGTTGTTAAGGTGTTAACCTTTTGGCACAGCGTGTGTCTGATAAATGCATTAATCTGGTTGTCAAGTTCATTAATGATGTAACTGTCCCGTAGAAGAAAAAATTAAGATGCCCTTTAATTTCGTTGCACACTCACATTATAATCTTTGATTGCACCTTATGTAAGGGCTCAGATCACAGCAAGTTGACACAGGCCTGTTGTGTGACATGCAGCATCTTTAAATTCAGGAGACACAATGGATAAACAGCTGTTAGTGTTTTTATATGAGCCTTGACTCATAGGCTGGGACAAATATGTCTCTGGGAAATGCTAGTTGTCTTTTAAAGTAAAAATAAATTCCTTAACTTCCAGTGAACTAATAATACAACTACATTGTTCTTCGTCAAAGAAACTCACAAACACAATTTTTTTAAAGGCTGCAATATCTAAGATCACCCTTCAGAAACACATTGTGTTTTGTATTGTGGAGTGTAGAGAAATATTTTAAGTTAAATCTAATAGCAATATGCATCCATTATCTGTTACTACAAATAACAAAATATGTTAAAACTTGAACAACATCATTTTTGTGCAGATTCAGACTTATTAGTTTGAGGTTATTGAAATCTTTTACGTTTTTAAAACATCTATAAGTTGAGGAAATGCTCGTCTTTGTACAACTAAATTAAGACAGCGATCAGAGTCTGTCAACGTGCTTCTTCAAATAGTAGCAAGAACTTGAAGCAGCCAGTCAGCATTAGCTGGGCAGACAGACTTGGCCTCTTTATGTAATTTGATTAGCAAGGAGACACTCCTCTCACCAGTAATCACAGGGCAAAGAGAGTAAACAAAGGCCAAAGCCGGCAACAATGGCTGCTCTTTGCCTCATCTCTGCCCAGGCACAATCCCAGGCAAAATGTATTTAGTTGTGTGTTTCTGTCTATCTGTGCCGTAACAGGAAAACTACACACACCCACACTGTCCCTCTGTAGCTCTCTCACACACCCATTGGGATAAGAAGACAGGTCAAAGAGGAAGGATGTCTCCTCTGGCAGCTCTGTGTCTTGGCCGTGTGCTGCTTCCTGATTATTGTGCCTATTGTGTTGTGAGCAGCCTGGAAGATCCTTCAGCAGATCCTTAAGAGAAAGCAGTGCTCAGCAGATTTTAGGGAAACATGAATATACCAAAACATGTCACATAGTGCACTTCAACATAATAATAATTCAATCAGGCATTAGAAACTGATGTTTTGAGTGTGTGCCATTTAGTGCAGTTCCAAATACAAAAAATATGGATCTAGTGAATTTCATTTCACAAGGGGACTGTTGTTAGATGTATGAACTGAGTGCCAATCTAGTGTTTATAATAAAATAGACAACGATGACTATTAAATGTTTCAATAGCAAAAAACTAAGGAAACAAGACCATCACTAACAAAGTTGCCTTCAGAACAAATACTGTCGATGATGCTTTATGCCACAAAACTTAAAGACCAAAAACAACAGCAAACCTAAATTTGAGAATACTACTCATCAAAACTACCTTCAGCTTTTTCATGTTACCTGCTCATGCTGCATATTGGCTGTTATGAATCGTCAGTATCAGCTCCTTGTCTCTGGTCAAAACAAAGCAACACCAGTGAGGGGAGGCATTAATACAGCCTTTGTGTCAGGAAGAAAGTGTAGAGATTTTCATCTAAAGCAAAATGTATGATGTGTTCACATTAAAATAATAAATGTCTCTCTTTAGCTTCCTCTTGTTCTGGACAACCATTCTGAAGGCATTGACATTCACTTCTGGGTGCGGGTCATCTCTGCTGTCTCAGACAAACTACACGAGGTAAGACGTGGCCCATCAAAAGTTCACTACCTGACTATTTTTAGCCATCAGGAAACAGTTGCTTCCTCTCGCCGGAGTTTTTACGCAAACACAGACAGTGGGGGGATATCATTCAGTGCGTATGAGGAAGGCTAAATCCAGCACAGGCCAATTTAGCCTCAAAAACAGATACATCATCATTGTGGGACCATCCCAATGGAAACAACAAGGAGGCCACACGAACAGGTATTAAGGTTAATGAAAAAAACGCTAGCGATGATCGAATGATCTGTATAATTTTCAGTATGTCTCTTACTGATTGCTCATTATTTTGTTTGGATTGCCCACATCAGTGCAACCATATGTTCACTTGTGTGAAGTGTGTTACAGTGTAGGTTGTATTTGTGCTGTTATCCATGTAATTTGTGGCTTACCTGCATTTAGTGGATGAGTAGAAATTCTGCTTTGTTTGTTATGGATGTTTCCATGGGATATTTAATGTCGCTGACAGTCTGACATCCTGTTGGCGAGACACTTGTCTCTGTCTCCATGATAAACTGTCTGTCGTCGAGACAGATGACGTAAAACCACCCAGTCATACCTCGCTGTTTTCTCTCATTTATAAATATCTAATGTCTGATAGGTCTAAAGGTTTCCCTCATTGTGCAGTGAAGGAGGTAAACACGGCAGCAGGTTCTGGAAGTGTAAATTCACACCAAGAACATGTCTCTTACATAACAGAACTGTGGCCTTTCATCTTAAAGATCCCCTTTAGGTTCACAAGCCCTGTTTTCCTCTCCACAGTTGTTCCAGAGGAGCAGCACCAGGGAGCTTTTCCAGGTCATGACTCCTCTCTTCCAGAACAATCTGTCCTTCAGGGAGGTGATGGCCGCTGCCTCCCGCCTGGTATGTGGCTACACCGAGGGGGCTTTCTCCAGAGTCACCTCCTTTAACTGGTATGAAGACAATAACTACAAGGCCTTCCTGGGTATCAGCAGCAGCAGGGCACAGGGCCACTACACATATGACAACAGCACCAGTGAGTACAGACAATTGAGATGGAAATTTATAGAAGCTTTTTAGGTTTATAATTCCCGAATTTGTTTCATGTCCAACACATTTCATCTAGTCTTATTTGGCATTTAGCATTTGTAAAAGCATAATGTAAAATATTCAATCTCTTCCTCCAGCTCCTTTCTGCAATGATCTGATGAGAGAACTGGAGTCCAACCCTACCACCAGGATTGTGTGGAACTCTGTAAAGCCCATGCTGATGGGACAGATACTGTACGCTCCTGACTCGCCCGCTGTCAGACAGATCATACGAAATGTAAGCATCGTTGAAAGAATTTACCTGCAACCTATGAAGTGTAGTAGCATGGTTTAATTTACATTTATGAAGTGGAAATCAACATATCTTAACCTTGTTAATACCACGTTCTGCAGCCCAACACAGGTTGAACCATTTTGCCAAGACTGCCAATTGTTGATTTATATAACACAATGAGGGCTTGTAGACAGTTATGTGGAAGAACTTGCCAGGTCTGGTAGGACTCTCTGGGGGAATGTTTTCTAAAGACATATGGTGTTTCTTTCTATTTTTTTTTTCTTTTGCATACTAGGATTGCAATTATATTATTATAAAAACACAATCTAAAGATGGAGAGATAATGAAAATAAAATAAATGAACAAGATTATATAGATGAACTATTCTCTACTACTCCATGACATCCTCATCGTTCGCTTTAGAACATGCTAGCCATACTGCATTGAACAAAGCATTTCCCCTCAAAAGAGGATCAGCTTTCCTCATGTCATGTCCAGCCCTTTGTATCTAGATGTAGATACGAGTCGGTCAAAGCCCTTCAGGGGGGCAGCAGTCATGGATGGCTTGGTTGCAATGGAAGACCACAAGCTGATTGACTGTGGTGACTACCCCACAGTCCAGTGGCGCCATGGCTTTTTCAGTGTTATGTAAGCAACGAGGGTCTGTCCTTATAGACGTGTGATCACGCACACAAAGGGACACACACATTTATACTTCCTACTTCCCGACCTTTAATGCCCTCTTTGTTTTCCTCTTCCCTTAGATTGGGATCTTAATTGCACTAAGAAAAGTAATGACCTAGGGGGTTAATCCATTACTTTACCAGTCCAAAAATATGACCTCAACAGGCCACTTGTCATCTTCTGCTTAACTCTGTCATGCATAGTGCATTATATGACAACCTCAAAGTGGCTTTAAACATATGTTGTCATGCCTTATGTGACCACTCTTGTGTAATGTAAAGTAGTATCTTATCTGCATCCTGCCTTTATACAGCTTTACAAACACTGGTAGGACACAGAGGTTACTTCAGGACATTCTATCAAGTTTTGCATTCAATCATCGAGCTTAATATTTCTTGTCATTTGAGTTTGATCAGTTTTAAGATTTTCAATAAGTGGAACCAGAGTCAATTTGTAGGTAATTTTACTGTAAGATACATTAGACTTTCTTGCTTTGCTGTTTTACACTTAAAATTAAATAAACCCAATAATAATAAACTAAATTTAAACTGATATATGAAAGGCGTTCTTTGGGAATCTAGACCTAGTCACTGATATTCATGACCAGGTTGAATCACAGATTATTTGCTCCACCAAAGAGGTTATGCGTCTGTTAGTTTGCAGGACTGCACAAAAACTACTGGATGGAGTATCACAAAACTTTGTGGATAGATGTGTTATGGAGGAGAGAAGAACTTATTAATTTTGCAGATCCAGATCAGGGGTCTGAGTCAGTATTTTTTCTTTCACTTTTTCTAAGATGCAGTTGTTGTAAGGGCATTGTTTGACGTCTTTTATTTCCTAGGGAATAATCCATGGATCTTGATGAAAAGAATCAAGCATTTTATGGGGACTAATATTTATGAGTGTTTGCAATTTGGTAAAGATCCAATTAAAAATCCAGATCTAGTGAATTTATATGTGGTTTCTTTAGGGGACTGTTGGGCCTTGGCATGAGGCCTGCGTGCGTTGAGTGCAATTCTAGTTTATAATGGACTTGTATTGTGTTTATGTAGAGAGTATCATGGAATTCACTGTGTTGTTGTACTGTTACAGCACTCACAGGGTATGAAACATTGGTATAACACAACAAGTGCAGCATCACAATCAGGCAGCAACCACTTGATGTGTTTACCACTGCCTCCGTTGAGGCTAAAAAGCTTTAGTGTGTGTCAGAGATGAACAGTATTAATATTTAGTTAGCAGATAAGTGTTGAAGGGACTCACTTTGTTGCAATGTTATTTTTTACTATTGTGTATGTGTGTGATGCAAAGAACATCCTACATTTTGGCTAAAGCCAGAAGATCCTTTGACGCCCAAACACTCCTCCTTCTTCTTTCCCCTGCTATTTTAAACTGCCCCGGGGGAATGAGGAAGTGCTCACTTGTGGGAACCTGACTGAGATTCACTGGGCTGGCTGAATGCGTTCGGCCAGTTGTCACCAACGGCCTCCATTATCACCCCGGCTCCATTGTCCCCATTGTCACCCAAAATCAGACACACACAAGAGGCGTTTAATTGGGTGTACTCTTGAGCGCTTTCATCCCCCAATGCACATGACTGAATACTGAACCAGCCAGTGATTGGTATTTGCCACACAAAGCACTGTACCCGCATACATCCAGGGTTTTAACGATAAGCGTGCAGTAAATATTTGACGATTTGGCACCGGGTGCATTTGTTGCACTGTTGCTGGTTATCTGAACAGGCCTGCGGGAATTCTTTGTGTGAGAATGTGTGTGTTGTCTTTTCAAAAGCCTGTTTTCACAGAGACTTTAATGTGGGAATGGTATGTAGCTGGAGATTAGAGGAACAGTGACAGTGTGTGCGGTTGAGTTTGAGAGTGTTGTGTACACATGTGCACGTGTATACATGTGTGGGTTTGATGTTCATTTTATCTATTTGACCAAAACGTTTGTATTTGCAACTGTTGTACATCCAAATGTGGACACTTGTGAGAACAGTTTTGTGTTAATGTTTATGTTTGATAATACTTTCCTGTTCTTTCCTGTCACACACACACATGCACACACACACATATTCCCATCTCTCCTGCAGGCTAACACTACATTTGAGGAGCTGGAAAGGCTCAGGACAATGGGGAAGGCCTGGGAGGAAGTCGCTCCTCAGATTTGGGCTTTTTTCCAAGATGGAGTCCAAGTCAAGATGATTCGGGTAGGACAATCTTCTAGTGTTATCGAAGAATTAAACAGTGCACCAGAGTACAGGGACAGTTTATCAATACATTTGTCTGCATTGTAGAAACTTTCTGTTCAATATTGGAATAGTTGGAATAGTCTTGAGAATAAACACAAGATTTTATGCAAAGTCACAGCATTTAAATCACTTTCACTGAAGTTGTGGTTTAAAATTACATCTACATACCAGCCTTACTGTGCCAAATACAGCAGATATGATCAGGCTCTACCTCTGTGTTGCCATTCAGTTGATATCCAATGCTTAACAACTGTCCTGATTATTTACTATTACTCACTGATGATTTTGATATATTTACTTTTATTATATTTTACTTATCTATGCAAATTTTGCCATATTTTCCCATTAAACTTTGCTATAAGCCCTTTTTATTTTTGTCCTGTTTGCTTATTTTTTATCTGAATTATTATAGGGGGAATCATTACTTGGAGGACTACTCATCCCTGAACAAACCTAGTGACATTATCATCACTTAAATTACTTTTTAAAATTAAATTATTCACTATTCTGTCTTCTTCTTTTTTTTTTACTACTTAGATTACCTTTTATGAAAAGTTATTGTGATCTTACAGGCATTACAGCACTTTTCCTTGATAAAGTTTATTCTCCTGCTTCCATTCGTTCCAGGACTCCATTTGTAATCCATCAGTAATGGATTTCATTGATAGAAGTCTTGAGGAGACACCCTTCTCCTCCAAGCACATACTCAACTTCCTGTACAATGGCTCACCAGAGGAACGTCCAGAGGACATGCCGAATTTTGACTGGAGACACATCTTCAACCTCACTGACCGTGTCATTCGGATGCTCAATCAATATGGGGATGTGAGTGGACAGTAAACACTGAGATTTTGTGTCTGTTTGTGCAAAATGTTTGTGCTGCTCAAATACAAGTTGAAAAATATACTGTGCACATTATTCGGAATATCTATTCACCTGATTATTCAGGCAATAATGGAACCAGGCAGGAATGTGTGGCAGCAGTGCAATAAATAAAATCATGCAAATACAGGTTAGCAGCTTTAGTTCAACATCAGTTCTTCAGACAAGAAAAGAGATATGAGGTTGCAGTGGAAACAGATTCACTAATGCTGGACAGTTCCTGGTCTAATGAGTCTGGATTCCTGTTGAGGCTGCAGAATGTTGGTTTAGAGTTTGGTGTCAACAGCAAGAATTCATGGGCCCAGCCTGCCTTGTGATGATAGTGTCATGGCGTGACATACATAATGGAGTATACAGTATGTACCAGCATGAGCATACCAAATTTTACTGACTTTTCAAAGAGGGCCCTACATGTCAAGGTGAAAATAAGGTGTCAGGATAATTCTTTTGGCCTTTTTTTATCTTATCCCCTGTTGAACAGAAAGAATGTGGACTGTTTTTGTGCTTTTTCCTCTACCTAAAATGTCAAGCTCTGGGACAGGTCTATTCATCAAATAATCCAGTTACACACAGGTATTGTCACTTGTTGATTTCGATACCTCTGTGTGTGCAATACCACTATTGATGTAAGCTTTGCGCTCTGCAATTTGTCTCTTTGTCCGGAGACATGGAAATCCACCCAGGTGGGGAGAGCCAGAGAAACACACTAGCTGTCGAGCCACTTTTGTTTACTGCTGATGGAGTGGGGGGTTAAAAAAAACTAAAAAACACATCACATACCTTCTCCCGTGAAGACCCTCCACATTTAAAGTGGGCCAGTTCATTTGAAACAACAAGTTAAAATCACCCATTTCACTGTGGGGGCTAATGTGAATGAGAGGCCTATCGCTCTGGGAGGTGACACGGGGGGCACCTGGGGGCATGGCTGGGTGGATGGTTGGTGCTCTTTGTTTTTGTCCACGTTGAAGCTTACAGCACTTGAGTGTGACAGGGAGAGTGGGAACGATTGAGGCCGATTAGATACAGCTGCCACTCTTTCCACCATCCTTTATAGAGCAACAACAATGACCGTGGGCTTGACGGCTGGTTGGCTGCATGTTGGTGGTATGCATGAGCAGTGGGGCAGAAGTGAATGCTTTGGGTAAATTACGGCCTTTAAGATTTGAATCATTTGCTGTGTTTGATTAGACTATACTATGTCTTTAAAATGCATGCAGTATTTTGAATGCATGTCTCTGTTTGCATGGCAAGTTGTGTGTGTGTGCTTTGTGTGGATAGGTATCTGTGCGTGGGATCTCAGTGTGAAATTGTTGTTTTTGGACTGTTTCCTCTTGGATCAATGCCCTCCCTATTTGCATTAGCCTACAGTGAATGGTTGTATCAGACATGCTTCACAGGGAATAGACAACCACTGCTCAAATTCCACTGAAAATGTGCAAGTAGAGTCTTGTCCATAGTAATTTGACACCCTTTTATACTAATATAAGAATAAAATAAGATTTAACCAAACTTCTGAGAGCCACACCAGCAGCATGGCTCTCAGAAGTTTCACTTTAATCTTGTAGATTATCTCAACTCCTACAATATAACAGAAATTCCTTGTTCCCTCTCCCTCACCCAGTGTGTAATCCTGGATAAATTTGTGGCTCTGCGTGATGAGGACGGTGTCACCCATCAGGCCTTGGACCTGTTAGAGGACAGAAAGTTCTGGGCAGGCCTCATCTTTGTAGATATGTACCCCTGGACCACCAGTGTCCCGCCCCATGTCAAGTTCAAGATCCGTATGGATATTGATGCAGTGGAGCGCACCAACAAGGTCAAAGACAGGTTAGAATCAAAGTCAAGTGGAAATAACTGATCAAGCATAATGGTGATAGACTTTGACACTAAACATGAATGTGTATGTGCTCAGATATTGGGACCCTGGTCCCAGAGCTGATCCTATGGAGGATCTCCGCTATGTGTGGGGCGGCTTTGCTTACCTCCAAGACATAATAGAGCATGGAATCATCAAGACTCACACAGGGAAGGAGTGGCCGCTGGGTGTTTACCTTCAACAGATGCCATACCCATGTTATGTGGATGATCTGTGAGTGGAATACTTGATCATTGGTCACACAGTTCGAGCACATTTAACACTCATAGCAGAATTCACAAGAATTTTATGGTAATGAAGCTGATGGTTGTCATTACATACATTCTGGTTGCATCAGTTCCTATGTTATTCTCATCCATCTTATTTCCTCTCCCCTTCCTTCATCCAGCTTCATGCTGACTCTGAACCGCTGCTTCCCCATCTTCATGGTACTGGCCTGGGTCTACTCGGTGTCCATGATAGTCAAGAGTATCGTCCTCGAGAAGGAACTCCGCCTGAAGGAGACCCTAAAGGCCACAGGGGTCACCAACGGCGTCATCTGGTCCACCTGGTTTATTGACAGCTTCATCATGATGAGCACTAGCACTGCTCTCCTTACTGCCATCATCATGGTGAGGAACATTTAACAAAATTATTCTCTCTATCTCATATTGAAATATTACATTTAGGAAAGTGTAATGATAATGTAGTGTGAATGTGTATCATCTCATATAATGAGTGTGGTGTTGCTCCCCAATTTTCCAGCACATTTCAAAATAACGTAATTTCAACATTTTTTCACTGAAATGGAATTTAGTTGCCATTTTCAAATTACAAACCATGATCAACTCAATCCACCTGCAATGCTAAGGCCCCTTAATGATTTATTCTGCATCTCTGTTAATGTAAACTACAGTATATAGTCTATAGTCTGGCTATGAACATCAAGAAATCACCCAGTTTTTCTGCAAATCTATCTTATCCCTTGAATGACATGATTAATGATGGTGACTCACTGACTTCATACTTACCCTATGAATCATTAATGAAAGAACTGTGAATACCATGACATCATGGGAGTTATGCTGGTGACCTTGCAGGACTGAGCTTGTCAGCTATCAACACTTCTACCTTGTAAAAGTCACAACTCCTCTCATTATGGTAAAGTGGGCTGCTCTGACCTCTAGTGGTGTATTTGTGTAAAGCAATGAGATTACCCCAATGATTACTCTAATAAAGTCTGTATTTAATGTCACTGATTTATTATCCTTATTTACAGTAACTGAATTTAAATGAAAAAAAAAATAGAATTATTTTTACCCCAAATTTTATTTAAAAAAGCAACATGTAAATGTCTAAAAGCTATAATGTACAGTACAATTATTTTTGAACAGTGAAATAGAAACAGATTTAACCAAATAAAAAGTATATTACAAAATGTTCACATTTGTCACCAAATAATGATTAAAGCTAAATACAGATTTACAGATTTTATATGATATTGAAAAATAAATGACAAGTCACACTGACAGTACATTAAAGTATCAAGAGACATTAAATTAAAGCTTTGGAAGGTGCAGCTGATTATCATTTCAGTAAAGTCAGAAATCTGGCTAAATAATGGAAAAAACTCTGTTATAAACAATCCTGTGATTACTGTTGGTTCAAATTTACTCTGAAAACAATCAAATTGGAATTCAGTTAAGTAGTCTTATCCAATATGTTCCTCAGGCAGTCACAACCAAAACATCTAGATTAGGGTATATCAGGGGCCTGGTGACATGTCACACTTAAGGTTAACATCATTATAATCCAGAGCTATATGACACAGTGTGGAAAAGATCATATAAATATGGGAACAAACCCTTTAAAGGTTCTGTTCAATATGGTTTATGGGAATTACTTTGTTGCAAAATTGGTTTCATAGAATATCAAATACCATATATATTACGTTTACATATAGTGTAGATCAAAATGCAGTTTCTTAGTTTAAGGACTTAAGGAAATGTTTCATAGGGAAAATCAATGTCAACAAGCTTAGCTGCTGTATCTACAACTTGCCCAAATCCAATCAACGACATTTCTGGGAAAATGTGTCTCTTTCAGTGATTTACAAAACCATTTATAAAAACAACTTATGTTTGGTTTTCTCCTGCAATTGAAAACATCAATTGTGTTTCTTTCTGAACTACAGGGAGGGAGGGTGCTGAACTACAGCAATCCCATCATCCTCTTCCTCTTTCTGCTCACCTTCACTATGGCAACCATCATGCAGTGCTTCCTCCTCAGTGTATTCTTTAACCACGCCAACCTGGCAGCGGCCTGCTGCGGCATCGTTTACTTCGCCCTTTACCTCCCACACATCTTCTTCTTTGCCTGGCAAGACCGCATCACCAAAGACATGAAGATCCTGGTGGTGGGTGTGATATAAAAAAGAGACTAAATGGCTTAAAAACAAGATATTATATTGAATTTTCAAAGTGATTTAAGTCCATCTGCAATTACTGTATCAGTTTCAAACCCTCTCATGCCCCCTCCTTCAGAGTCTGCTGTCACAAGTGGCGTTTGGCTTTGGGACAGAGTACCTGTCACGGTACGAAGAACAGGGTTTGGGTTTGCAGTGGGACAACATCCAGACAAGTCCTCTGGAAGGGGATGAGTTCTCCTTCCTCACTTCCATCTGCATGATGGGCCTGGACACTGTACTGTACGCTGTGCTGGCTTGGTACCTGGACAATGTCTTCCCTGGTCAGTGTATTAGAGAGAGATGAAGGCTTTGCTTACAACTTTTGCTGATATTTGCGATTATTACAGATCATTTCTCAGAAACAAGATACATGAGTTATTTACATGTTTAAAGTTGCTCAGGGATTAAATCCTTTTTCTTTCATTCACAGGACAGTATGGAATTGGCCGTCCATTTTACTTTCCCTTCCTGCCCTGTTACTGGCTCAATACTGTGGCTCCAGCTTCAAGTTAGTGCATCACTCACCATTTACCCTGAGGTTCATCCTGAAATCAAGGTGTAATACATGTGTAAAATACATAGCTCCCAGACTGCATGCACGTATTTCATTTTTTTCCATTGTGATATTTTTGTCAAAGGCAACGAGCTTGATTTGGATAAAAAGGGCTTTGATAACCTTGTGAGCAAGAAGCAAGAAGAGCAGCAGAAAAAAGAGAAGGAAAACCAGGAACAGGAGAAACCAAAGGAGGAGGCCAACTCATGTGAACACCAGAATCAGCGGGAGAGGCTGGGGAAGGAAACTCAGTCTGAGGGAGAGGAGGACCAGGAAAAAGATGGTAGAATAACTTTTATATTTAAAAAATTATTGTAACTTTTGTGTCTGGGAATTTCTTCTTATTTAGCCGCTTTCGTTGTGTGGGAACTCAATGCCCTTGTGTGTATTTGCACTTGCTGGCATATGTGAATACACAAAGCACTAGCTTCTCAGTTTGCTTAGTTAATAAGTGATGGAAGCTGCTTTCTTTGCATTCCAATACCTCCACCTCATATCTGTCCTGCTCTTGCAAAAATGTTCAGGACATAAAAGGAGACCTTTGTTATATTCTGAAAACAAATGACGATATGAGATGTTGATAGTGTCACTATTGATAATTTAAGATTTTAAAAACGTTTTCATCCCTGAGCCTCTGGTTTAGGCCACTGCTCAAAAATGACATACCCAAAATGAATAGTCTAGATAATCTGCTACTACAAGGTCTAACTGAATAATCTTGGTGTTACAATAAAGGTAACACTTGTGAGATATATGCAGATGTGAAAGAATCAGTACATTTGTTATGGGTCAGAGTAAATGGAGTTGGAACAGAGCATAAATTAAAGACTTTATTTCCTGCTTCTCACTCTCATGCCAGAAAGATCTCAGACTGAGGTAAATGTGAAAGAGCTACAGAGGCAGATTCAACACATCATTACTCATGTTTTTATGATGCTAATGGAAATATTTAAATGTCTAAATATGTAAAAAAAAAAAAAATGCAGACATAAATAATGCATTTGTAAACATTAAAATGTAAATAACTCAACTGTAAAAATTGTGAACAATGTTGTGTAAATTAACAAACTCATGAATAAACCTTACTTTATTTTTATATACTATATATTAGTGGTATTTTCTTTGGTGTGTGCAGGCCAGCAGTTCTTTGAGGCAGAGCCAGCCGACCTGGTGAAGGGGGTTTGCATCGAGAACATGGTCAAGGTGTTTGGCAGTAGCTCCAGACCGGCAGTGGATGGCCTCAACATCAGTTTTTATGAGAGCCAGATTACTGCCTTTCTGGGCCACAATGGGGCTGGGAAGACCACCACCATGTATGTCACACAGGTGCTGTTACTAAACGCTAAACGCTGACCATGTTTAGAAAATCATCTATAATGTCTCTATTCTTCTCTCTGCCTGTCTCCCTTTGTGTTTCTCTCTCTTTCCCAGGTCTATTTTGACTGGCATGTTCCCTCCCACCTCTGGGACGGCCACCATCTATGGCAAGGATATCTGCACAGACATGGATACCATTCGCCTGTCTCTGGGAATGTGTCCCCAACACAACATCCTTTTTCAACAGTAAGTACCTTGCCTCAGGTTTCGTCAAAACATGTATAAAAGAGACAAAAAAGACTCAATGCTGCATTTTACATCACATCACAGTCATGTTTTCACCAATCACTGTGATAAGTAAGCATGTCATGTGTTGCTTTATACCCATAACACGGCCACTGCTTACACCTTGTTCTCTCATTGTCAGTATGACAGTAGCAGAGCACATCCTGTTCTACTCACTGTTGAAAGGCCGTCCAATAGCGGAGGCAGAGGAGGAGGTGGAGAACATGCTGCAGGATCTGGGTCTCCCCCACAAGAGAAATGAACTGACTCAGAACCTCTCAGGTCTGTCTAGATTCAAGTGTACGCATGAATGTATGGTGCAAACTGTTTACACACACACACACACACACACACACACACACACACACACACACACACACACACCCCAACAGTACTGTATGATGTTCTGATTCAGGAGGCATGCAGAGGAAGCTGTCAGTCGCCTTGGCATTTGTTGGTGGGGCTAAAGTGGTGATCCTGGATGAGCCCACATCAGGGGTGGACCCCTACTCCAGGCGCTCCATTTGGGATTTGCTGCTGAAATACCGTGCAGGTAACAAAGACCCCTGCTGGCTAGTGGAGGTCCTCATGACATGATACTGCTGAGGTTTTACCAAGGTTGCAAAAATATGTCATCTACAAATAAAAACACATACCTAACACTGCACAATGTCATGCATTTACAATTATGTGAAATTTGGACACCACATATATTGATCCCTGTTTTTATTTTAGTTTTTGTTATTTCTTTAGTATTTCTTTGGTAACAACTGTTTTATTTTACAGTATCATCAAACATCTTTCCTTGTGTAACTTCGACCTCTTCCTCACTTTTTCATTGTGCCGCTCTGTCTCCTGATTTACAGGACGCACAGTGATAATGTCCACCCACCACATGGACGAGGCCGACCTGCTGAGTGACCGGGTGGCCATTATCTCACAGGGTCGCCTCTTCTGTTGTGGTTCCCCAATCTTCCTCAAGAATTGCTTTGGCGCCGGTTTCTACCTCACTCTTGTACGGCGAATTAAACATGATGCTCTAAAGGTGAGCAAAGTTTTTGAGTATTTGGGTTAAAATGACGAGAAAGTTGTCATTTAGAAATTTGTTTGAGCTGTAAGTGGACTAAAATGTAAGTTATATTAAAATCTGGTTAGGAAAGAATTTAAAACAAAGTATTTGAAAATCCACCCATTCATTATCTAGACCGCTGAGAGTCAAGGGGGTTGAAGCCAATCCCAGTATACAACATATGGTCAGGTAGCCATAGTCCTTTACAGGGCTAATATATAGAGACAAACCATTCACACTCACAATCACCAGTATGTGAAAATTCTGGCCTGAAACCTTTGTTATGAAAAATAAGTAAATAAGCAAACCAACTCTAATGAATCCCTACTGAAGTGGGTGTATCCACAAGGCAGAGGAAATAACATCACATTTTTTAGTTAAAGACATTTTACATCAGACGTTTACTATAGTTTTACCAATGTAGTTTTGTTTGTAAATGAATCCTTGTGATAAAGGGATTTTAAAGATATGAGATATGATGATACTAAAAAAGTAAAATGTTCTCCCCCAGGTTAGCTGCGACTGTACAGAGGACTGCTCCTGTAAATGCTCTAAATGCTCTGAGTTTAAAATGAACACTGAGGAGACGCAGGCTGCAGACAGACAGATGGACGGTAAGGTCACCGTATAATGCAAATGTCTTTCAGCAACCCTGTCTATTCATTTGCAAACATATTGATACAATGAGAAGAATAGTGGCTTTGCATTGGATTGTAGTCAATCCACTTTCTGTACCTGCTGTTCAACTTCACACACCTAGATACACCCAGTACACACTGTACTCTGTCACATGTGTGCTGTCTATGTTTCTATTAGAAACACAAACACATCTATTGTTACATTAGGCATAACAAATAAGGCCTTGGAGGCAAGGCAAGAAAGACAATACAAGCCGAACCTTGAGATGTTGCCACCAACAATTATAATAAGATGCAGCAAAGACAGTAGAGTTAATTTCCACTGACAGAATTTCACAGATGCCATGTCAAGTAGGAACATATGAAAATGCATGAACAATCAGTAAATTAAATTCATCTCCAGGTAACATGGAAAGCATCACAGCCCTGATCCACCATCACGTGCCACAGGCTCGACTGATCGAGGCCATCGGACAGGAGCTGACCTACCTGCTCCCAAACCGTAACTTCCAGCCCAGGGCCTACGCCAGCCTCTTCAGGGAGCTGGAGGAAACCCTGGTGGACATCGGCCTCAGCAGCTTTGGCGTGTCGGACACATCGTTAGAGGAGGTGCATGAAGATAAATCAAAAATATTTACATTTACAAATTAACATTTTGGTCATAGAAAACAAAGGGAGTGAGGCAATTTGTCATACAGTCACTACATCACTTTGACCCTCACTGTTACTACGCAGTCTTTCATCAAGCTTTGTTAAGAAGAGCATCTGTTTTTCTTTTAGATCTTCCTAAAGGTCACTGCTGATGGGAATGCAACCAACAGGAAATGTTTACAAGGTAAAAAGAAAAGAATAATGGCGTCACGTTGATTTGTTGTGTAATGTTATCTCTAATACCACTGTTTTTTCCTCCTGTGAGTTATAGCTTCTCTAACTCCCCCAGACAAGAAAACATTGCAGCAGATTTGTCGAACTAGTCTTTGTGGATTGAACAGAGTGACTGTTGATATGGAGCCACGGAAAGGTGACAGTGGCTTGCAGCCTAGAGCTTGGGACAAATGCTGCTGTTGTGAAAAAACATTGATTTCTAGAATTTATAGGTGTTTTACATGTTTTGAAAGATAAAAAACACTTTGTAGGATCATTTTCTTTTTTATTATTTTGGCAAAAAGGGTTTTCAGTGCAATACAGAGAGCTTGAGCTTAAAAGGATTGTCTTGAACAAGCTGTCATTTGGGCACCAGTGACACGCAAAAGATGCTTAATTATATGCCCATAGGCAGGTAGAGCAATGCTTAAAATGCATATGCCGAACATGCTTGGCTCCCTGGCTGGCCTCCTCACTCCTGCTGACTTTGTCTGTGTAAGTCAGGCTATGCAACCTGACCCTAACTCTGTATTGCAGAGGCGGATGGAGCTTCGTACACCAATGGCCAGGGCCCGTGTGATGTCTCAGACGGTGGCGCAGGCAGGGGGTCGGACCAGGTTAGAGGCCTGTGTCTGACCATCAAACAGTTCTTTGCTCTGCTGATAAAGAGGCTGCATCACACCACACGCTCCTTCAAAGACTTCTTTGCCCAGGTACCCTATTTATAAACCTTTACACCTGCATTTTTTTGCATTTATTAGTTACAGTTACAGTATAAATCTAAATTTGGACCAAAGTTGTCTTTAGTTGTCTGACGTAAATCACACTTTTGTCTCTGTTTGTCTTAGATTGTGCTGCCAGCCAGTTTTGTTTTCCTGGCACTGACATTCACTCTGATCGTTCCACCTTTTGGAGAATATCCAAGTCTGACGCTCAGTCCCTGGATGTATGGACGGCAGTACACCTTCTTCAGGTGAGCAAAAAGGATATTAGATCACCTAATGGCCATTTAGTGGTAACGAGTCTGAGTGGGTTTAATAAGATCAGTACAATACTTATAATAATTTAGCTAAAGAGGCTAAATGTATTTATTGTTAAGATTTATCTGGTTTGGTGATCTTGTATTTTCTCAATTTTGTCTGCAGTAATGAGCGACCTATGGATGCTCAGATGAGATACTTTGGTGAGGTGTTGCTGGACAAGCCTGGCTTTGGGACTCGCTGCATGGTGGATGAACCACTGGAGTATGTAACCTCCACGGCTTCAGATGTATTTTACTTTCGTCAACCGTCCCCTGTGCTGTTTTGTTTGACAACATGGTTTGCTTTCTCTGTCTGGCAGAGATTTCCCATGTAACAACATCACCACAGAGTGGGAGATGACCCTGGTGAACCCTGCCCTGATAGAAATGCTGGCTGGTCCAGAGTGGGACTCCCTCACACCATCACCAGACTGTCAGTGCAGCACACCCAGAAAACTTACCATGCTGCCTGTGTGCCCAGAGGGAGCTGGAGGCCTGCCACCTCCACAGGTAGGTGGTTGGGTCACTGATACTGAACATGACCACAGTATTTTAATTTTTATATTCCTCCTATCGATTCAGATAGATGCATTCATAGGTCACCCGCTTCCGACTAGTATCTGATTAGTGCTCATTTTGTGCTCTAGAGGATCCAGTCAACAGGAGACGTTCTCATGGACCTTACAGGCAGGAACATCTCTGACTACCTGGTGAAGACCTACCCCAGCCTCATCAGAACCAGGTATTTGTGCAGCAGTTTTAATGGAAAACTTACTTATGTAATTGTCAAAAATTTTATTCCATCACCTTATGGCTCAGTGTAGATACTTCATACATCTAAACATACATCTTTTGTGTTTACGATGCAATACAAGGTTGAAATGTAATATAGTGTAATTTTTGACATTTTAGTAAAAGATACACAAATGAATGCTTTAACTGAAATGTATTTCAACTTGAGAAAGGATTGTAATTGCATCTCTGTCCTTGATCTCTTTCCAGCTTGAAGAGCAAATATTGGGTGAATGAACAAAGGTAATTTAAATTTGCACTAAAATGCCAATTGTCCATGTAGGGATATACAGTACCTTACTTGCTTGTATGGATGTGTTTATGCAGTGGTGCAGTTCTCCATCCAGTGGTTGTTATGATGTACTACAACCTTACGTTTTAAGTTACACATGCATGTATCTTGAGGCTGCTTTTGTCTGTGGTGTCCAGATATGGAGGTATATCAGTCGGAGGGCAGCTTCCTGTTTTAGAGTTGCGGCCAAAGACCCTGCAAGATGTGGCCGCACAACTGGGACAATTGCTCAATGTTACTGGGGTATGGCTGTAAAACTCAACATTATGGCTTATCTTATTTTCTTGGTTTTTGTGTATGTTTACCACCTTCATCTGTGGTTTCTTTTGTAATGGATTGTTGGTCATAGGGCAAACACTCTAAGCAAACACTGAAGGACATAGGGACGTTCCTCAGGTACATGGAGACTCCTAACAATGTCAAGGTACGTCCAATACAAACTCATTGTATGACATAATATAATAGACACAGTAAGTGTAAGTAAGTAAAAAAAGATTAAAATCTGCAGTAGTCAAATTCTATCATCTATTGTCTTTCCACAGGTGTGGTATAGCAATAAGGGCTGGCACGCCATGGTATCTTTCATGAACGTAGCCAACAATGCCATCCTCCGTGCAAACCTGGCCAAAGGAGCGACCCTGGACGAATATGGAATCACGGCTATCAACCACCCCCTGAACCTCACCAAAGAGCATCTCTCTGAGATCACTGTGTGAGTGACCAGTAGCCACATAGTCCTCATCCAATTACAGCTCAAGGCCTGAAACCTGCCCTGGTGTTTAACAGGAAAAGTACAAAGGAGAAGGACCCTGGTGTGACACGTGTGCAGGAACAGTTTATTTGTGTTTGAGTCAGTCTCTCATAAACATTGCTCACTGTGGTTAGTAATGGAAAAGCATGATTTTTAAGTTACACTAGCTCTTGGAAACTCTGTCCTTCTCTGTCCTTTTTCCTCAGCCTGACCACCTCAGTGGATGCAGTGGTGGCAATCTGTGTCATCTTCGCCATGTCCTTTGTCCCGGCCAGCTTCGTCCTTTATCTCATCCAGGAAAGGGTCACCCAGGCCAAACACCTGCAGTTTGTCAGTGGTGTCAGTCCACTGGTTTACTGGATGGCCAACTTCCTCTGGGACATGGTATAGTGACCCTGTTACCTGCACAGATGTGCACCAATGGCTTGTGTTAGCTGTATCACTGAGATGTGATGAAAAGTACCGTGACTCTGGTCTTCCTCTAGGTGAATTACTCCATCAGTGCAGCAATGGTGGTGGAAGTTTTCCTTTTTTTTGATAAGAAGTGCTTCACCTCACCAACCAACCTCAAGCCGCTTGTTGCCCTGCTTTTGCTTTATGGGTAAGAAAATGGTTAAAAGTAGGTAAAACAAAATGAACAAAATTTCCATAAAGCTGTTGTATTTAGACTAATTGTTGGTGTTTTTAACTTTTGAAGTTTATTGAATAACGGCCAATAATCAATTATTTCACAATTGTTGTATCCACCTGATAAACGATTACAGTCACAATATCAGTATTGGAATATATCCTATTTAGATAATTTGACAGTATTTATGTACATTCATCAGTTTAATCAAGGTAGCAATTAATATTTTGTTAGCCTAAAAAAACAGTTTTAAAACAACACTCAGTTATAAATGACCCCCCCCCCCTTATCTAAAATGGATTAAATATTTTGATTAGCAGGCAATGCCCCCAACTTCATGTGTCTATATATATATATATATATATATATGTGTATATATATAAATATATATTCAGTGTCTTGCATTAGATTGTGACATCAATAATCCTTTTCTAATGCTTGTCCTGATCTCTCTCTTTCAGCTGGTCTGTGACACCTATGATGTACCCCATGTCCTACATGTTTAACATACCCAGCACAGCCTATGTCTCTCTGTCATGTATCAACCTCTTTATTGGCATTAACAGCAGCGCCATCACCTTCATTCTGGACCTTTTTGAGGGAACCACTGTAAGACCAGGCGTCTTCTGTCTTTAAATGTTCATCTATCTATTTATCTCCCATGTCATCCTCATTCATTCACAACGGATTGTTCTATTTTTTTCTAGGCTCTGTACAAGTTCAATCAGCTGTTAAAGGCCGTGCTACTCATCTTCCCCCATTACTGCCTGGGACGAGGTCTCATAGACATGGCTATGAACCAGGCCATTACTGATATCTACACTCGCTTTGGTAACAATAGAACACACAGACTTACACCCCCCACAGTCCAGCAAGCAAACACTTGTAGCAACAGGAACCACCAATTGTCAGCCACGAAAGCTGCTGTCGGACATGCGCTGAACTCTGTAGATCCATTTTCTCCGGAGGATGTGCATATGTGACTGCAGATTTCGATTGAGAAAGTCTGGATTATCTGCAGAAATTCTCTGCCTGGCCCCCTGGTATAAAGTAATACATATATACAGATGACACAGAAACTAAATCAGCAGAGTGAATAGGTAAATTCCTGCCTCTGCCTGCACCACTGTATCCAATTCTGTGGACTTTACCCACAGGTCACGTCTGAAAATTGCTTATGTCATTACATGATTCCCCCTCCATTGACGTGCAAAAATATGTCTGGGTTTGAGTTGGCAAAATATGAAATATATGTTATCAGTGATAAAAAATAATCAAGATCAATGTTTGTGTTCTTCAGCATTTTTTCTACTTCTTTCTTAAGATTAAGAAACAAAATTAATTGCTTATTTTTTGAAAAATGGGGAATGCTCTTGAAAATTGAAATTATTTCAGAAAGTCACTGACAGATGTGTTACGTTTACATGTTTCCTCAGGTGAGGACTACAGTCCAGATCCATATCAATGGAACTTTATCGGGAAGAACCTGTTCTGCATGGCTGTAGAAGGATTTGTCTATTTCCTCCTTAACATTCTCTTCCAGTATCGCTTCTTCCTGGATCACTGGTGAGTGGGATCAAATTAGGATTTCACTAGTTGTACTCTATGTTCTGGTCTTTAAGTCAGTTAGCTTTATTTCAGATGCAGGTCAATATCAATATAACAATAAAATAAATAAATTACAAAATACAGTGCAAAAATATAGAATAAAATCATCACTGTACAAGTACACAGGGATCAAAAACCCATACTGACCTTTTTTTCTCAAAATCAAGAGGAGTACCTTGTCATCTTGGTTAAAGCCCTCATGATCATCAGCATCAACGTTGCACATCAACATTATCGTGTAAATCATCCCCAGTAATGTGACCCAGATATTTTACTTTGTTACATTTAGAACTTTGTCTGCCATAACTAATAATAATGACGGCACTCTTAAATAAAAAAAAAAGTCAAATTATAATTGGTAATTTTGGAACTGTACAATGTGTGAAATAAGATATAGAGAAACTCAAAGTAATTGTTCCAGATAACACAATGCAAATCCTGATAGAAAAGTTGATTTGCTGATTGTTTTTCCTTTGGCAGGATATCAGATTGCCCAAAGCCTAAAATTTTCGACGAAGATGTAGATGTGGCTGAGGAAAGAGAGCGAGTTTGCCAGAACAGAAATACAAATGATATTTTACGAACAAGAGACCTGTCGAAGGTAAGACATTTGTCTTTGTCAAATTACACAATCAATCACACACCATTGACAAAATACTTCAACATAATTTTTTTCTCCTCATGTTGCCTTGTCAGACGTACACAGGAACCATCATCCCTGCAGTGGACCGAATCTGTGTTGGAGTATCCCCTGGAGAGGTTTGTGAGGTGAAATCGATACAATTCACAGCATGGAGGGAATCCTCCTGGTCACATTATATACCTTTTATCATGCTTGTTTTTCTGGCAGTGCTTTGGTCTCCTCGGAGTAAACGGTGCAGGCAAGACCACCATGTTTAAGATGCTGACAGGATACATTGACGTTACCTCAGGAGAAGCCTCCATTGCTGGTCATAGGTTGGTAAAACAATGTTATTATGAATAAGAAATAAGAATCTTATAAATAACGATCTTATTGAGGGATTAATCACTGTTTTGCTGTTGTTTTATGTTGTCCCGGCAGCATTTTAACCAACATCCTGGACGTTCACCAGAACATGGGATACTGCCCACAGTTTGACGCCATAGATGAGTTGCTGACAGGCCGAGAACATCTGCACCTTTATGCCCGCCTCCGTGGAGTCCCAGAGTCTGAGATCAGCAGGGTGAGTTATGATCAAAAATAACAATATTATATATTAATATAGTAATATTCAGTAGCACACCCTTAACCTTCCTTTACTAATGTTTCATACTGAAGTTTGAAAGATTGAGAACACATTCAGTGTCTAGCCCTGTTTATCTGTAAACTACATAGTTCAACTGGTGTCACTTCAATCATAAGCCAGAGAAATGTTATTCCTGCACCAAAGATTTACTGCATTGTACCACAAGGCATTTTTCCTCCTCTCGCTCAGGTTGCAGAGTGGGCCATCCACAAGCTGGGTCTCACAGAGTGTGCAGGTCGAAGTGCTGGGACTTACAGCGGAGGTAACAGGAGGAAACTCTCAACAGCCATTGCCATGATTGGCTGCCCTGCTCTGGTGCTGCTGGTGAGGCCAACACGAGTGATATCATGGGTTTGAGTTGACACTTTAGGACAGGGCCCAGAGTTGCTGGGCATTGGTGTATTAATGCATTTTTATTTTGATGTGAGGAGACAAGACGTGTGTGTATCTGTGTGTGTTGATGCATGTGTTGTTACTCTTACTGGACGTCAGGATGAGCCGACCACAGGTATGGACCCTCTTTCCAGACGCTTCCTCTGGAATTCCATTTTGAGCGTTATTCAGGACAGACGAGCTGTGGTTCTCACCTCACACAGGTAAATTGTGTGTGTGTGTTGTCATTTTTGGGGGGGGGGGGCGTTGCATGTGCTTTACTTGAGTATTTACATGTTATGCTACCTTACTCCACTACATGCATTTGACTGATTTAGTTTACTGGTTACTAATGAGTTTTTAACATTTTTCATGAAAACATCCCAGAAGCGTTTTTGAAGATTCAAATATTGTCTCTGAACTTGTGACTGTTTAAAAACACAGTGTCTTGTTGGAGTCCCATGTTATCTCCATACAAGTTGCTAGCAGTTCCGCCAAATAATATAATATAAATTGAATAAAATCATATAATAATTTCTTTAACTTTTGACATGGTTTCTTAGTGTTTTAGGTCCAATGAGAAAAAACTATCCAAATCTCACAGTTATTAAAAAAGGAGAGAAAAATCCAGATCTTCTTTTTTCTTGTTTTGTCTCTCTCATTAATCTCACATCTTCTCAGACATATTGTATCTAGTCACCCTGGATCACTGTGTTGGAAACTAGTTTTATCTTGAGCAGCTATGACAATAAAATGCTGTCACACATTCATATCAAAAATTTGGTACAGGGGAAATGTTAATGAATGTAGAATGAGTAGTTTTAGTATTTAGCTGCAAATAATACTACTATAATTAAACCCGAGAGTTATTTTCAATGTAGGATTATTTAAAAGATAAATAAAGGATTATTGATGTGATCTTGATAATTTAATATAATGATTTGATTTCGTATTTACAGCATGGAGGAATGTGAGGCACTCTGTACCCGTTTGGCCATTATGGTCAATGGATCTTTCAAATGCTTGGGAACCATTCAGCATCTTAAATACAAGTTAGTCTTTTAACTTCATCACATGTTGCTGATCAATTATGTTTTTTACTTCTATATTAAATATGCTTGAATGCAATACATCAAGTCAAAATATCTGATTGTTGCCTTCACTTTACCGTACATCGATTTTAACAAAGATTTGGCGATGGCTACGTTGTGACCATGAAGATCAGGGCAGCGGAACCCGGTCTCGCCCCAGACCTAAATCCTGCTGAAGCTTTCATGGAGAGCACGTTCCCTGGCTGCATCCAGAGAGAGAAACACTACAACACGCTGCAGTACAAGATCTCCTCCTCCTCTCTGGCTCGCATCTTTCAGATGGTCCTGGCCAACAAAGACAAGCTAAACATAGAGGACTACACAGTATCACAGACAACTCTCGATCAGGTGCGTACACAGAGAAACAAACACAACATAAAACACCGTTAAATGGTAATTTCTTTCAGTTCAATTTTATTTACAAAGTGCATCTTGGCTTGAGACCCTTTACATTATAAGCTTGGGACCTTTCAATATTATAGTTATTTTATAATTACAATGACTATATAATAATAGTGAAACTTGTAATAATGGTTTTAATAATAGCAGCAGCAATAATACCAGCACCAACATTAATAATGTTGTTATAAATATAAAAAAATAATATCATCACCTGTGAATCTTTTTCTATATATTTTTTTGTCTGCTTCAAATAGACATTTCATTAGTTTCACTGTTTTGACATCCCTCTAGGTCTTTGTAAATTTTGCCAAGCAACAGTCAGGAGAGGATGACACCATAGTGTTACACCCAAAGGCTGCTGGTGCACAGCGATACATCGACGCCACACCCATCAAGTCTTTGGGGAAGTGAAAGTACTTCAACAAGCTCAACCCGGTGTCGTTGGTTTTCATTTCACTGGAGTGTCGTCTGGCCTCATAGAGACAAGCAACAGCATTAAACCAGGTTGGAAAAGTAAAGGTCATGGAGGGTACATTTGATGTTTCCCTCAAGGGAGGGACGAATAGGGCAAATGTCATTTTTGACTTAGCATTTGACATGTGACAACAGTGCACATGTCTTTTGCTCTGCCAGTACACAGGGTTAATGGGCTTTGAATCTGGAGAGTGTTGAGCATTTATGTGCCTGCTGTATGTTCCACTTCCTGCTCACCTTGTAGGCCTTTCAAATGTAACACAACAGAGCACTAGATTTACAACGAGGACCATGGACTTTGCGTGATGACACGATTGTTTGTAGCAGATTTCGATGTGAATTGTAAAGAAAGCATAGGTGCTGTTTTTCTTTTTGCTTCAGATGCCAAGCAAGATTAAATTGTTTTGCCTTCTTTAGATGAGTGAAAGAAACACTCAGAGAAGCATAGCATCCTGAGCACTTTATTTATGCAGCTTGGACTGAATGATGTTTGGCCATCTGCTAGTGTTGTATAGATAATCATTTCTACAAATTCTTCTTGCTGCTATGAAAATAATTTCGATACTATTTCATATTTTTGTCTTGTTTTATCTTTGCGCTTTATCATTTCACCAGTAACTGATGTCGTGAAACACAATGTCAAGAAAGTGACATTTTCAAAAGAAGCATCATGTCAAATAAAATTGGATTTTTCCTTAAGAAGTGGAGCTTTATTCAGAAACAGTTACCTTACATTCACTTAGAAAATAGTTGAATTAAAACCTGAGATTAGACAGAAAGAGCAAGAGAACCACAGCCGTTATCAATGACTACCTGATAAAGGAAGTTACACCTCTACAGTACCATAGCATTTTCTAATAACATTTTTTAAGAAAACTATTGTGCATATGCAGTGTAGGAGCTCACTATTAGCACAATGAAATGTCAGTTTTATCAGCATTCCTCCTGAGAGCTCAAAAGTGAAGTTGCACTCTTAAATGGATGGATGCCATGACATTTCAAATCCTATAGTTTTCTGCCACAGGCACTTCATTTTGAGAGTACATTTCAATTCTCTTACTTTACCTGATCACTTTAGGCATTCAAAGAATAAAAAAAATAATTACTATGTGTAACCACTGAGACATGACCGCAATGACAATTCATCTAGTCTAATTTTTTATTTTATACCAAGAAACTAAAGCCCATTGTTGGAATTGAACAGGCAGTTCAAATGTTGCTAGCTGCTTTTAAATGCTCCACTATTTTGCTACAATAGTACTGCTCCCATTCCCACCCCTCTCACTTCATTCATTAGTAAAAATTAAAAAAAATGCAAAGTGCTGGACTCAGCAGCAACAGCTTCGTAGTTAGGTGGCACACCTGTAGGGAGAGAATATGCAGCCCTTATATGCTGCAGCATGTTTCAGCCACTGTCAGAGGATCAGGGGGATGATGGCCATCCGGAGGCTGGGGTAGTCCTTGAACTCCCTGCTGTAGGCTTTGTGCTTCCATTTGGCCCAGATGGTCATCTGAATGAAGCCCAATAATGTGTAAAAAGCCACTGGAAGAAAAGAGAAGAGTATATAACATATACATGTATGTTAAAAATATCAAAACTGCCAGAGGCATGAAACAGTATTTCTCATTGCCATTTTTGGTCCTGCAATCCAAAGTTGTGCACATACTATACTGGTGCCGAGGTGTGAAGATAGTTTAGTGTACATACCTGGTAGACACTGCGTCATGATGGAAAAGCTCACCCATGCTCCAACCTGCAGCATGTTTCAGATATGTAGGCAAACAAAGAGATAAATATACAACCTTTGTGATATTCACTAAATCAATGTAAATACTTTGTATTACCTCATATGTGTAATTGGGACAGGATACGAAGAAAAATAGCCATGTGAAGGGGTTCTTATTTGGACTCGGGTACCTTCTGCTCCTGGGTCCTGAGAAATGTTTTTGTTTTTCAGACCATTTAAATAAAGACACTTATCATCCATGTTTCCATCAGTAATGTGAACATTGAATACTAAATGGTCTGCATGGATTAGTGGTATACTCCTCTTAAAACTACAGAATCAAGCTCAACTCACCATCTCCTCTGAGGTTATTCAGAGTCACGTGAATGGAAAAGTTTCCCAGTTCACACACCTGGAACAGAAATATATGCATTTCAGGTTTTACAGTCACCATGTGTCATATGCAGCATAATCACATGAATTCATAATTTCAAAATATACACACCACAAATATGACAAGTGCATAGTTGACCTGCAGTTCACCGTATGCTGTAAAGATAGTTGGTTAGTCTTGAATTAATATAGAGAAACAACAGTGTGTGTGTGTGTGTGTGTGGGTGCATAGGAGAACTTACATGGAGGTGTATAAAGAGGGTGGTTGATGTAGTAAGCCAACCAAGCTGAGAAACCCCAGTAATATGCACAATTCTGAGAGAAGGCACAAACAGTACAGAATGCAAACAATTAAAACGTTTACATTAAACATATAGCCTATACAGTGGATATGAGCAGCTTGGGCTAAAATCATTATCAGAGAGGGAGAAAACAAGGCCACACATTTTAAATTAGGTATAAGCACAAGCAATGCTCTTTTCTTCAAGGGTATTCATGTCCTCACTCTGACTATTATCCTGAGGGGCATTGTCCCGTGAGAGAAGCGGTGGACAAAGATAGTCTCTATCAACCTCTTCATGTAGTGGAAGGTGTGACAGGCACAGGCTTGTCTGAGAGACAGAGAGGAGGAGCGACGTCACAAATACATTTAAAAGTTTGTTATAGGTGCGCAACTTCATCACAATTTTTACAGCAGATTTAAAAGAGGAGACTTAAAACGATTACTGTTGGTCCAATGTGTCCCTGCAGCAACAAAAAGTTTGTGATTCAGGAAAGACAGTGCAGTAAATAACAAAACAAACCAACAATAAGCAGATAAATGCAAGATCAGAATATCAAGACTAATTACATAGATTAAGTATAATTATGTTATTAAGTTATTATCGTGAAAGTGGATGATACCGTTAAATCAACATGAGTAAAATAGAATGGGTTATTCTTCTTGTAATCAATCCTCTGCCAGTAAACCTACTTAAACAGCCAGCAATGTTGAGCCATAGGGTATGTTATAGCAGTAATCTTACATAATCTGCACTGTAGTTCACTTTTTTCTCCCACTTACGTGACAACAGTGTGGGGACTGGAGGTGAAGGCATAACTGTGCGAGTAAATGTACGGTACTCGGAAATAGAAGAGGAGGTAGGTGAGAAGGGGCCCAATGAATTCTGCCAGAAACACCTGAGAACAAAAGCAGAGGAAAAGCGAAAGGTTCATCAATATATTACTGTATTTTCTATGGAAATCTCTGATGTAAAAAGTGATACGCAAACTAAAGGGCTAATGATTTCCCTAATCCAGGGGCCATTTGTCCAACATCCATGCACAATTCCTGATTCAGTAAGGTGCACATTTAAGTCATTTCTTGGTTATTGTTAACTCTATTGTTTTGAGCAAAGCCTCATATCTTTAAATATATTTTGAAAAGTGTTCCTTATTCAAGCACATTGGGTTTTTGAAGTGCACATTGCACTAACAATGAATGAATATTGTGAGTATTGTTTGTGACTAGTTTATTAAAAGACGTGAACTAGAGGTAGGACACGGGCACTGCAGGGGCCAACAGATTTCAGCTAGGGCCATTGCCCTCCAGTGTTGACCCTAACACTAAGATCAGCCCCTGCAGGAAACTAATTGAGAATCCTACTTCAAAATCGTGTCAGCTAACATTAATTATATGTGAAAGGAAAGCAGAACACTGATTAATGATTCTCTTGCATTCCTCACCATTGTCCATCCTAACTGTGGACCCAGATCTCTGAAGTACATGGTGGCAGTGGTCCCGACAGGTAGATTCTGTAAGATTTCATCATCCCTCAGTAATTTTCCTTCTGAAAATGTAAAACAAATGTATGCAGATACATTCATCTGACATACTGCTATAAAATAATATGTTCTGCATGGTCTCTATATAATATCAAGCTTGTTGGCAGCCCTGCACAGTGTTTGAAACTGTTTCAGAAGGTTTTTAATGAATTCCTGATCAGATTTTCAGCACACGTTCTCTGTACGGGGAAGCGCTCATGGGGGCGCAGCCACAGATAATAGGCTGTACTAATTGGATGACATTTTTAGAGCATCCTAGGGGGAAACTGGCCCAGATAGCTTTTACCCAAAACTGTACTCTGTGCTTTTCAGTAACAAGATAGACCTCATTCAAAACAAAGCCTCATGACATTTTCTTCTTTTAGATGTTGCATTTGCCTGTTTTAATTTCATCTTAAATAAATGCAAATGCGATGCAAGTTAAATAGTTCTATGGTGAAAACAAAGACAGAACAGACAATGGTTTCCACAGTGATGCGGCTCTGTGAAGAGGTGCAGTGTGTTTTTATGGCGTATTCACATTCACAGCGAAGGTCAATGTAAATGTTAAGGAAAATGGGTCTCAATGTGATTTAATTACAAAATCCTCTATTAAATTTACCCATTGATTAGATCTGGTTTTGAAAGGATATTGCATATACTTTTTAAACATGAGTAAAACTCCAATTTGCTTCAATGTCAAATTATACCAGCAACCTTGAGGGACATGGACTGACTGAACATCTTCTGTGGAGAGGACTATTAATACACATATATCTAAAGCTATGGCTGACTGTATGGAAGTTTATTACCTCAAGAGTTTGGTTTTTCAGTTTGAGAGCAGAACACGTTGATTTGTACTTTTTGTAAAGTAAGCAAATCCAAGCACAAGCAGGGTCAAAATCTGAACATGAAATCAACCAAGTCCTGCTCTCAAACTGAAAGACCATACTCTTGAATAAGGATAGAAAAACATATAACCATTCCCATCCTATTTGAATTCTTAACAACTATAAACAGCTTCATGCCTAAATTGACCTCAGGTTCCCCATCTAATAATGATTCCGGCGAAATCACAACAAGCTCCTTCATTTAGAGCCAAAGAATAAACACACCATAGAACCAACACATGCCAAGTGTTTGAGTCTCCTACACCTCATACTGAGACTGTGACAGCATCTCATTCTCACACAGGCTGCTTTCATAGGTCAAATCATCAGCAGCTCAGAGACCAGTCAGCCCAAACCTCTGCACCTCTCTTTTATTTTGGATGGGAACATCAGAATTCTGTTTACACTTTACTGGTACCCCCTCACAGTATTTGTGAGTAATGGTGTCCAGTTTTTGTTGGAGCCACACTGACTTGTGCAGCTGTATTGTTAATAAATAAATCACTACATAATCACAACCTGGCTACTTACTAGGATCGAGCTTCAGAGCCTGCCTTGCTGGATACAAGTGAGGATCTGCGGAGAAACAACACAAACACACACACACACACTAGGATTGGCTTGAAGCCTAATAATAATTGATCACAATGGAAAACAGCCAGAGACTTGGCAAATATTCATTAATGTCTCTGACACCTACTGATGGCAGAACCACTGCAGACTTCAGACTGAACATGAAAATGTTTCTATTAAAATTGCACAGTGTACAGTCAGAGGTTCCACTGAGTATTATCATTCATAGCTAAAAACACAAGAACTCCAACTTGTTTGTGGTAAATGTGTAATAAAAGATCAAAC